CCTATTTCATATGATGAATAATGTCCATAAATATGAAAAAATTCCATTTATATCTTTAGAAAAATGCAGTATAAAGATTTTGTTGTAGTGATATTAGACTCTCAAAGACAATATACCATTTGACGAAGAAAATGAAAAAAAATGAGAACCGCGAGATCTGATTTTAGTAATAAATTGGATATGAGTTTGATTGTCACATACTGTATTTTGATTTTTTAAATTAATTACCCATAAGGCGCATATGCCAATTAGTAGTTTGTCAATATGTTTTTTTGATCAAAAAGCATAATTTTTTTTTTACAAATTATACTTTTATATATAAAATACTAGGTTATAACCCGTGGAAACCACGGTTCACGAAGTAAAATAATGTATCGACTAAAAATAAGAATCGTTATTCATTAATTTATTTACAAAGTTTGACATGTTAACTATGCGATACACATGTTTGTACTTAACAAAAATTGTTTCCATATTTGATGATCCTCAAGATTTATATCGCCCCCTTTGACCTTAAGTTAAACATCTTCTCATTTTCAAAAAGTGACTCCTAAGTAAATCTGGTCTGTGCATTTTGTAAGATTTCAATATAAATGTAGAGCTCTAATGTTCTATTCGTAGAAGACGTTTTGGTTTATGTAGGAAATTAGGTTTGGAAATTTTGTTTTATTTCATGTTGTTTAATTCATTTGGTCTAATTATACAGAGCTCTTATCTGTTACTCGATGACAATCGGTAGAAAATAAAATATCAGTGTTAAAATAAAACTAAAAAGTCCAAAAATAAATACTATATCGAAATCTTACAAAGTGTAAAATCATTAATCCTATATTTTCATGTTTTTTTTTTTATAAAATTAGACATTATGTCGGTAATATTGTGAAAGATCATTACAACCACCGAAGCATATCAGTATCCCTTAACATACCAACAATTCATAAGAACCATAGAATATAAATCCATAACTAATCATTTGAGCATGATCCATGATTAAAATTCAAGAATTTCTAAAGGTTAATTTAATGAAAACAAATAAAACATATTAGGGTAAAATTTGGTCCCTGTGGTCATTATAAAATTTTGACAGTTAAATGTTAACTTTGATGACACTGGGGACAAAATTGATAGGAAATTAAAAAAAAGATTGGATTTCAAAAAGATGTTTGTGGAACCAACAAGATGTTTATGCCAACGTGTTGTATTGATATAAATCTGACAAATTAACGATATTTGTAAAATTTATAAATAAATTGAAGTTTCTGTAAAAATAGAGTTCTTATCAATATCATCACCTCTAGTGGAAGTGAGTGACACCAAGCAACAACCAAACCTGCATTTCCCACCAACATGTGTTGGATACTTGGATATTTTGGGTCGTATACAACCCCAACTCATATTCATTATTTTTTTGCGCAAACTGTCATCCCTCTTCATAAGTTGACATATTGAAAAGAAAACCATGTTGTTTAAAAATAAAACAAAAACAAAATATTGAAAATTGAAGTTAATGTTTTGAACCTTAGAAGTGACAAATTTATGAAGCTTATCGAATATGCAAGTTTCAATGCCACGTCCAAACTCCAAATTTTAACAACCCACCTAAAAGAAGAGAACATTGCAACGATCAAGGATACACTTCAAATGAGAAATCCGAAATGAACGGTGATGGTACACTTCAAATGAGAAATCCGAAATGAACGGTGATGGTACACATACATTTTGGGCCTTTGGTACTCAAGTTAATGTTAAAATTTCTTTTACTTTATTTTACTTACTAAAATCTTCCAACATTTTAAGTGGAAGTAACCATTCCTTCCATATCTAACATGACACACTGTATTGAAACTTGGTTCTATTTGGACAATTTCTTAAACATTCAAAGTAAAATTAATAAAATACTCTGTTTGTTTGTATTGGAGATAGATTTTAATTTTTGACTATTTTAGGTCAAATACTTCAGAATTATAGTATATATATATATATATATATATATATATATATATATATATATATATATATATATATATATATATATATATATATATTTGTCCATAACTATGCTTGATTTCCAATTCCATACTTTGTTGAATCCATTTCGTACTTTTTTATTTACTTTCAAATCATGGAAACATCACCATAAAGTGAAAAATGCTAATTAACCAAAAATATGGTATATTGTTATCCATTTAATATTAAAAATGTAACTTGAATCCAATAATTATTTACTTCAAAAGCAACCCGAAATCAGGTAGGGGCTGACCAATTTCAAGCCGAAATGGATTGAAGTAGCCACATTAACCACCTTTTGTAAAGTAGTACTAAAAAGCAAAAAAAAAAAAAAAAAAGCTAGCAATCGTCCACCCTTCTCTTCCTGCCATAAAACAAACTAAAAGACAAAAATTCATGATATTCATAAGTAAACAATCCATATTAGCAAACATACGTATTTGATGGATTCCCAAGTAATTTTTAGGGAAAATAAAAAGAAGCTCTATATTTCTAAGTATGTCGATAACCAATATCTTCATGAGAATTACTTTGATAATATATGGGCGATTAACACCTAAAATCACCTGTAAGCATAAGATAAAATAATAAATCATACATAACCGTCAAATATATCTATCTTTGAAGTATAATTCTTTCCATTTTCTTTTACTAAGAAAAGGTCATACCTTGTTAAACTTCTCACGCTCAACTTTGGAATAGTGTCTCATCTAGATATGACTTTAATCTAAGCAAAATCTCTGGCCAATCATACAATATCATCAAATAATGGAAACCATGATAAAAAGGCTATTAGGGAGAAACAAACAAAAAGTAATAGATTATTTCAAAATCTATCAATTAGAGAACTATTAGAAAGTTGTTTATGGAGTGTAAATATTCTCTGTAATTTGAATTCAGTTCATGTAAAGGTTTGACAAACATAGTAAAGAAACCAACGTTTAGGTTACAAACCACTTGCTTACACAAGACCTCACTTGCCCAAACTAAAAAGACCTCACTGGCCCAAACTAAAAAGGTGAAAAGGTTTTAGCAGCTTCTTTTCACACATAGATCAAAGTATTTGAGGAGCAAGTAGTTCAAAAATCATGGCGTGACAAAAGATTGGATGATTTTTGTTTCATTTAATGGATTACAAAATCAACCTAAATCTCCACCATGAGACAAAGATCAACGATGAAGGCCCTGCATTAAGAACAAAATATAAATGAACACAACTCAAAAAATTTCAAAATGATTACAATCAACAAACAGATGATAGAGTTTAAATTACCAAAACCATGAAAGGGGTTCAATAGACTTAGTCATGAAACTAAAATTACAATGAGGTATTTGTATTAGAACTGTTTTTACCTTCGAAAATCTCCATTGAAACAAAACAACGCAGAATAGTGAGATCTCACATATCAAATCTTCGTATTTTCACCTATTTGCGTCGAAAGCTGCTTGAAGAGGAAGGAATTGGAGGAGCTTGGTGGGTAAGAAACGAAGAGAAGAAGCGTGGATTAATCCTGACAAGATATGAAGTCGAATAAAACCTAGTCAAACTGATTCAATTTTAAAGATGATTATGTTTCGTGATTTCTTGCGAATTAATTGTTGATTTGTTGACGAAGATTTCTTACTGATTTTATGGGGTGCATTTGTAATAAGAAATGAAACTAAATGAGGAGGAAAATTAGGGGAAATAAAGAAGGATAAAAGTTTGTGGCAAATAAAGCCGACTAAAATTTTTAAGCGGTAAAAGAGAAAAGAGGCTTCATCTGAGAAGGACACGTGGCATATAAAGGGTGTAGAAAATCAACAAGTGGCAGTTTAGAGAGTCAATTATTAAAAGAGATATACTTATTTATATAAAATAGAAAACTAAATACTCCAAAATTAATGTTCTTTTTCTCTAAAAATAGACGGTACCAATCTTTATGTCTTTAGGTATATTTACAATTTCAAGATTTTGTATCATTGAATCATAACAAATGTTGTGATTCGGTGTTGGATCATAACATAATATGTTGAATTTTGTTTTGTTATTCAATGATAAAATTTCCAACAAAACTTAATTTCAAAATTTATTAGGTTAACTTTTCCAAAAATAAAGAGAAGCTATTGTACAATAAAATGTATTTGATGTTAGACAAAAATAGTATTTCCCATGCAATACTAGTTGTTAATTTCCCCCTTTTTTTTTTTATAACTCTGAGCCAATATTTGTTTCTGCAACATATTTTCAACTACATTTCATATGTGGCTTTTAGTGCATATGATAAGGTAATATGAATAGTTACATCAGTTTCCATTCAGAAGGTTAAGTAACCCAGTTATCAGCTACCATCGTTATCGGTAAAGAATTTTATAATAGTTTGACAAGTTATAACCATTGTCATCATCACCTACCGACCTCAGCTCCACTATCTCCCTCGCTGACAATCGGTGACGCCGGGACGGTGACGGTGACCTCTCTCTCTCTCTCTCTCTCTCTCTCTCTCTCTCTCTCTCTCTCTCTCTCTCTCTCTCTCTCTCTCTCTCTCTCTCTCTCTCACATAATCGGGGGCAGGGTTGGTGGATAAACCGGTGAGAGTAGGAGAAAGAGGAATGGCCAAGCAAAATAAATACTAGTATTTGCAAGCTGCAAGTGACATTTTTTTATGGTTAATTTAACAAACATAAAGCATAAACGATAGAAATAAAGGACCAATTTGGAATATAATGAGAACATATGTAAATTTAGGACTCAATTGTATATAATGAAAAATTACGTTCAACGTAATAAATAGCAAAATGCAAACAGAATTACATGTAAAAAAAAGGGTAAATGCTACCCCTAAGCATCCCTCAATACAAGTCTAATAATGGCTTCGAGTGAGATTTCACCTATAGATTTTTATAAGAATTCTTACCTCTCTAATGCTAGACACTAAGACAAGTACATCAGAAAAACTAAATAACATGTATCACACAAACACAACAGCCATCAATTTATACTAAATTTTAAATTATACTCTAAGTAAATATATACTGAATTCAGGCCCTCTGTTTCCATCCATGTTCATCATATAATAAGCTTCCGAGTCACGACTCCCCACGACTCGCTGAAACCTCGCTCTCATGTACAGGAACTCGCCCTCCGACTCTCCGCAACTTCCTCCGGCGCTGCTTTTTCTGCTGCCTTCCAACACCGGTAGAACACCAGCTCCTACTGAGACTCTCTGCACCGTGCTCAGTGTGTGCCAGTCGGAGTCTGAGCACGCCCTTGACGACGCGTATCCATAGTTCCTTCCGTTACAATACATCGTCCATGTGGGTTCGTTGAACAGCTTAGAGTCTCCCCGACGACTAGACAACCCGGAGTGTTGCTGTTTCTCGCACTCAAGTGTGATCCTTACTTGCCCTGAGGACATCTCCTTAACGAGCGCCGCCGTGGACACCGCCAGTTCAATGATCAGAACAGGTGCGGACCGTGGATCATATTGCACCGCAAAGCTGACATGTCCTCTTCGGTTACCAAACAACGTCCCGGTGACTTTTCGGCCGAGTGAAGGCGTTGGTGACAGCTGAGTCGGTAAGCTTAGCCACCGGAAGCTGGGAATGATTGCAGGGATTGATATGACAGTTAGAAGCGAGCGTATAAGTGTGGAGATTCCAGAGCGGGTTCTGGATAAACGACTGTATGATAGAGGAGAACTTTTACCGACAAGGGGTTTGTTGTCGTTGATACAATTTGGATCGATTACAAATAACGTGCAGGTGATGTAATTTGATGGGGTTATTTTGCTGGAGCTGTTTCTGGACAGAGAGAGAAGACCATGATCATGCTTCATTCTGTAAGAGTAATTTGATGATAACATGATGAACTTTTACACAGAGGGACGGTGGTGGTTGTGGTAGTGGTACATGGAAAAGGGATGAACAGTTGGTGATGATGGTAATGGAAATGGGGATCGGAGACACTCAAGCTCTTGTTGTGTGAGTCCTCCGTTGAACATTTTGGTTCTGTAATTTATGTATATATAGCCACAGCGTGAATAAGAGACATTTCGATATTTTTTCATTTTAATAATATATTTAATTTTATTTATTAAAAACAAATATAAGTCATAATCAAGAAAACTGTAATTAGTTACAAAAATAATGGTGTGATTAAAGTGGTGTTTGTTTTTTAAGATATGTTGCTCATGGAATTATTATGTTGATGCAGCGTGTGTGGTTAACCGATACGTCAATGCGAGAATAATTCTATGTCACACAGTTTTGCATGGTTGGTTATTCATCTATTCAATGATCCGAGACATCCCAATCGTTGAATCGAGATGAGCACAATCGATATTAACATGTTATTGAAATATTAAATGAATATCAAATGATCTAAGAGTTTCATAAGATATTGAAACTGAAAAAGTGTATTGCCTACCTAAATAACTTTGTGATGTGTTTACGAGACCCCTTTACACATCGCAAAGCTAAATATGGATCATAGCCTTAATTGATAATTTCATTTAGGTAAATAAATATATTAACGATTAATAAATAAAACTAGAATTGAATTGTTATTAAATGATGTTTATAAATAATCCACTAAAATCCATTGCTATAAAACCTCAAAAATGATTAGATGGTAGGATGATCAATCTAGTCAAAATTCGTAGCTTGAGAATTGTTCTCATGAACGAACAGAGAAAATCCAAGCTGACATCTCTCTCTATATGTATCCTATGTATCCAGCAAACAAGTCAGCAAACCACCACTAGATGCTCATCCCTCACTTGTGTGAAGTTGTACTTAAGACTTATACGAAATAAGTCTTCAAAAAAGAACTAATTCAAGCATAAAAAACTAGACAACTAAATTGCTAGAGAGAGGAGAGGGGAATTTCTTTTACTCTTGGCTTTGTACAAGAAAAAGAAAAGCAAGAGTAAACTAGTTAATGTTTCCTCATGTGTTTATATACTTACACTCTTATACGAATGCCCATGCTTTCATTTAATGAGACCAATACTTGTAAGTAATTAATATGGTGTAAGAGCAAAATTAAAGAAGCAAACCCCCATATATTGTCCTTGTATGGACGGTTAGGATGATAAGGAGAAAGAGTGAGTGCATTCCACATCATATCTCTTATATTATGTATGCAACACATCCTAATGGTCTTCTATAAGTCCACAATGTTGTACGTGATATTTAAGTCATATTATGTGATTAAATGTAACTAGTTATGATACCTTTTATTATTATTTTCTTAAAAAAAAAATAATTCCCTAATTAAAACAAGTATGATTTAATTTATTAACAAACATATTACTCAATAAATAATACATTTGTCACACCCCCAAGGAGGAAACATCTTAGGTGAATGACTTCATTTACAGTATTATAACAATTGAATAATAGAAATCAAATCCATACAACCATCACATTGATAAATTATAAGTTTACACTACTAGAAAAAAAGCCTTTTACGACGCTCATTCGCGTCGTAAAAGGCTCAGACGACGCGCAAATGCGCGTCAAGGAAGACCCTGTCATAAAGAGAGACGACGCGCATTTACGACGCGCAATTACGACGCGCGTTTACGACACGCAATGCGTATCAAGGAAGGCCCTGTCATAAAGGAAGACGACACGCATTCGCGTGTCGTAACCTTATGACGCGCGTGTTAATGACACGCAATGCGTATCAAGAAAGCCCCTGTCAAGAAAGACCATGTCATAAATGAAGATGACACACATTTTTGCGTATCATAATTTTAAATGTTTAAAAAAAATATTATTTATAGATTTACTAATTTTCAAATAAATAATACATTAAAAATCTCATAATACAAAATAAAATACCATAAATAACAAAGATAATTCATTTCACTAATATGTCAAATACAAATAATTATTCCAATAGTAAGTAAATGTAACACAATGCTAATATTTCATAATATTTATTATAGAAAACAAAACATGTACAACATTAAAAGAAACCCATGACTAAATTCTCCTTTGACAATCTCATTTGACAATTTCCTTTCTAAAAAGAATAACCTGATGCAGGAACTTTGAAAGGCTTCAGGGCATGGAAGGAGGTTGCTAGAGTTGTCAGAACCTGCACATGGCAAATCGGTAACTTAACATGCAATACAATACAAGATGATATGATAGAGCTAGTATGGTATCCAACTATATATTTTTTTTGTCTATTTTCTTTGCCAATGCTAATTAGGCCACTAAGCTTAGGAAAATGATATTTTAGTAGTCAAACATGATAGTTCATAAAGTCAAACACTGTGCCCATATCTATTACCTGAGTAGCACCAAATGTGGTCTTCAGTTCTTTGCTATTTGATGTAAGCTTAATTTTCTTCAACAAGTTGAGTAACTTCTTGTAATACGACTTTACATTTAGGTCCTACCGAGTCACCAACCTGCCATTATGTATGTAATCAAAAATATGGTGAAATGAGTCTTAAAATAAAGAAATATGTCTAAAAATTTTCTATTGTTTTGAACACCTACATGATTAGAATGCCCAAAAAACACATAAACACACTAAATTAACTTAATTCACAAATTGGAGCCTTAGCAACCATTGCAATAAGTTTTCTTGATCGTCTCAGTAGACTTATTTTATTACCCATATTAACAAACAATTTTATGTAAGGGCTAAATATAAGAAATAGCAAAATACTTCCATTTCTTTATATTACAACATTATACTTTTATTTTATTTTTTCCTTATTATTGATGCATCATATGATAAAAAAAGTCAACCGAATTCCAACGTTATACTTCCAATCTTTTTCTTCTTACCACATCATACTTTGAAAGATCAACCCAATTATAACAACGAAATTGCTATAATAACTGAGTAGATTTTTCTTGGATTTATCCCTTTATTTAGAATCACACATCACAAAACAAAAGCATGTCTATATCAATTAAGCTTTTTTATACTCGTTTTTGGCATAAATGAAAATGTCAAAGCAAAAGAAACACTAGACATATCATCATCATGAAAATGAAAAACAAAAATAGACAACACAAACCTTTGCATCAATTCAAATTCATACAGATCAGATCATTCAGAGTTGCTTGGAGGCTTCTCCTTTGGATGCTTGGAGCTGTAATGGTCAACAAGCTGCTTCACATTTGCTAACTGCACCTGAAAAGTCAAAACCCCAAAGCATTTTCCATTAACTATCTTATATATTTACAAGTTATTGTAGTTTATAACTTATATTACAAGCAGTTGTCAAACAAGAAAGTCATTTTTTTCATTAGGTACTAATTCCGGACAAAAGGGTAAAATGGTCATTTACTATCATTCAGAACTAAATGAAACTTAAATAAGCAAGAAATGATTCTATATCTATGTGTATCATCTAATTTAGTTCTACAACCTCCGAATAATAAGAAAGTAATCTACACCCTAAATCTTAAAGGAGTTAACACATTCGGATATGGGGTTACAACGTTTTCCTATCTCCATTCTCGAGCATGTAGAGTTGAACCATCAAAATGGTATGCATGTAGCCAGTTGCAGGAGCTTCAGGGGCAATCCTTGGCTTAAAATACCAACATAGTTTATCAAACGAGAACCTATTAAGAACAATAGATTGCATTAACATCCATGCAAAAGATAGTAATGCCCTTCTCATCTTGCATGAATGATATAACTTAACAGAAAAGGTTTGAAGCTACAATACCATGCTAAAGGAGAATCTTGTTCTTGATTTTATTTTTATATGGAACAAACTTATCAAACCTATGAAAACTTCTTCCAGCTCAAGTGCCCAATCCTACATTTTACAAAGTACAAACAACGCCTCCTAGCAAGTTTTTTCCTACAACCAGAGTACAATGTCAATTTCATGTCAGATATTATAAAAAGACAAAATAAACAAATCAACAAACATATGACTTCATTAGACAAGGAATCAAAAAAAGGTTTACCTGTAAAATTCAGCAAATAGATCTTTATCACTAATGTAGGCAAGCAACTTTACTACCTGCAAATTAGTTCAAAAACTCAATCACTTCTGCGTACCATTTGCTGCACAGGAGACTTTCGATGATGATGAGGGCATTTACGTCTTTTGAGCAAACAAAATTTTAACATACCTTCTCAAGCGTGTCCTCAACGGCTTCATCGTTCAATTTCTCACTTCCACCATTTTTAAGAATATTATCACAAAATGTAGCAAGTAACTCTGCACTTGAACTTCTAGCAACACCCTTGTCGCAGAATATTTCAAATGCCTCTTTAAACGCCTAGTAGGGAATTCATTCAAAAGTAAGACCAAGTAATTTTGAATGACAGGAGTGGTTTATTTTGATGAAATTACTATACTAACCTTGTGGAAAAGAGTATGGTTAATGAAACAGTCATTTACATATGTCAGGTACTTGCCATGAAGCTTAATAACTTTTCTAACAAAAACCTGGAGCAAAGTAAGTAAACATATATAAATAAATAAATAAATAAATTACTAATTTATGCAAATTTTTATGTTCGTGTGATTTTACCTGTTACTGTAACCCAACCACATCTCTCTTTTTAACCTGGAAAAAACAATAAGTTCAAAGTTATTCATCATTGCAACTTTATTTATAAAATTCAATTCTGAATATCTGATAGGATTTGCCTGTATATGAGTGTTTCTTTTACTTAAAACACAAAGAATGACTTAACAAAGATTTTGCCCATTAGGTCCCGATTGTTTCCAACTATGCCCTTATCCCCTCATTTATTTTTTCTTCCATTTACCCAAGTTTGCAGTCACTTTCGACAAAGAATATATATGTTTCCAACTATGCCTTCATCCCCTCATAAGTACTAAAATTATAAGATTAACATTTTGGAACAATTTTTTTTTTGTAACTTACGCTTCTATATATTTCTACTTTTTTGTCGTGTGATTACTTTCACTTGAAGATCTCTGAACTAAAGAATTGTGTTGTGTATCAACAGAGCAGACATCTGGTCATTTGGAATCACAGTACTTGAACTCGCTCACGGGCATGCACCATTCTTTAAGTATCCACCAATGAAGGTAATTCTTTTGTTAAAATGACCCTTGTACCCTTATACCCCTAATCCCTCATGTATCTTTTTTTTTAGCAGGTTCTGCTCATGACTCTACAAAACACACCACTAGTTCTTGACTATGAAAATAACCACTTTCTATCATACTTCACCGGATTGTTTTTATCTAGTATTGTAGCTGCAGAATGGACCTGCAAGAAACAGTAAATAGCAGTATTTTTAGATAGTATTGTTGTAGAATAAATATTTATGTGGGGTAAAAAATATCTAGTAGTAAGTGAAGGATTATATATAAAATATGTAAAATAACTCTCATTTTTACTGTCCATGTAGCTGAACTTATTGACATTGTTTGATCTTATTTCAGTTTCTTAGATTTTTGTCAATGAGGGTGCACATACTTACACACTTACACAGAAAAGTATTACTGTAAAACACTTTAACTAACATTATTCTCTGTTGTACTTCACTTTTTCTGTGATTGTCTCCTTGATCCACCAACCATCTACAAGTCAACTCAACAAGGGTAAAATTTATGCTATAGGATCGATTTACTGTAGTGTAGTGAGAACAAAAACATCAGTTTTCCCCATTCCAGACTTGGCTTGACAGATGAAATCCATTCCTAAGATAGCCTGTGGTATGCACATGAATGGCCACCTTGACATAAAAACATGTAACCAATATGGTTATAAATTTTTTTATATAATCTATATAGATACAAGCTTACCTTTATCATGGCTATTGGGACATGAATGGCCATGTTGACACAAAGAAATAGCTTTCAAGTCCCTCCACAAACTGTAATCTAGTTAACAGAGAATCATTGATGCATCCTGGTGCACCTGATACACATATGATATACCTAAACATTAGCTTGCTCAAAAGTATTTAGTATTTACTACTCCCTCATGTGAAAAAATTAAAAGATGTAAATATGAGACAGATACAAAAAACACACATACTTGGTTTCAGGGATAATCACTTCTTGGGTTTCTTAACCACACATAAAAATATTCTTTAACATCATTTTTGCAAAACAACAGTTAATAAAAATGGGTCTTACCTTGGAAAGGGGTTGCGATGGTTATCCACTTATTCACATACTTTACAGGAGAAACAACATGATTGTGAGTCCTAATTTGCCTCAAATTAAAGATAAACAAAGAGACAATAAGTACCTTATCAGCACCGCCGGTTATTTTTGATCCAAAAACAAGTGATAACATCTGCAAGCCCCTAAAATGAAACCTAAATCATAACGATCCTCTGTAAAAAAGTTAGAAATAGATATAGTAGATATATAATTGAAACCCTCCCTGACTAGAAAAATTACCTCTCCATGCCCTAAAATGATTGAAAATGATAGTGGAGCAAGTACTCTATGACTACATTCAAAATCATCATGGAAGATTGAGGTATCCATAAAATATGAAACGGAAAAGTCATTTTTTACAGAAAACTCGCCAATCAGATGAAGAATCTAACAAACATAGGAAGGAGAAGTGTGGTGAACCAGAGAGAAGACGAAGGGTGGTGGGTGCCTGGGTGGTTGTCGAGCAATATGGGGTAGAGAGAGAGAGAGAGAGTGAGAGAGAGAGAGAGAGAGAGAGACTTGTAGATTAAGACCATGGCGGATGAGGTATTTTATCAAACATGTTGCGTGCATCATCGATTCTTCCCCATTTACTGTATAAGTCGATTTCTCGATTTCTATTTCTCTTTCTCCCATTCCAGTCTCCGACTTTCTGTTGCTGTGATAGAGAGTTTCCTTCCCTCGTTGGGATTTGAGTACAGTAGTGTTAGCATAGGTAGGCAATGTTAGAGGTGGGAGAGGATGGTGGTGGGTAACATGCGAACTGTTTAGAGTTAAAGAGGAAGCGATAGTATGTCCAAAGAGCAGCGGAGAAGGGAAAGTCATCGGTGTTGGTGAAGGATTTTTTGAAAACCGATGAGATGTGAAAAAGAGAGGATTCAGCGGAGGGTGAAGAAGCAGCCGACTGAGGTGGTGGCTCATACGGTGATGGGCTGAGGACGCAAAGCCGGCATCGGACGATGGCTGTCGATTCAATAGGTGAAGATAATGATTGATCGTTATTACCATTTAAGTGAGATATGCAAAGCCTTGGGAGATCTCTGTGAAATCACAGGTTGGGTTTTAGTTTAGAGAGAGAGAAAGGAAGACGAAGACCTAGGTTTCTTTCTTGCTGATTGGAAGCGGAGGGGGTTTTAATTTTTCACATTAGGGGGTTTTTAATTTTTGGGGATTTCATTTCCCGCTCAAAACGCGTGTTTCATTAAAAAATATAAAGCGACATCCTTACATGACACACATTTTACAATAGGCATCCTCCGTATTTCTTTTTTTTTCTTTTCTAACACTAATTTCAGGGCACGCACAAATACTCGTCCTCTATCTTTCAAATTTTATAAGAGATGGCATTTATTTTAGGATGGATGTTTTTGCGTATCGTAAATCACTGCGCGTCATTGTTTGCGCGTCATTAAAGGCTGTTTTTCTAGTAGTGTTACATTGTATTCAAATCGTTGTTTGTTTGATTGCCAAATACATATGACAAAAAAAAATATGGCGTGACGCTGCTACGCACCCCATCTCCAAAGCCCTTTTGGGTATCTGTTTACTGATTTCCTGAGAATATAAGTAGTTTTGAAAAGTGTCAACAATTAAGTTGGTGAGTTCATAAATGTTTTGTATGAGAAAAATCTGTCATTTTTCTTTGTAAAATGATAGAGTGTACTTCTAGAAAATCCAATATTTCCTTTTAATGAACTGTAGTCTTAGAATCCCTAAGACCGGTATGTATAAGTATTGTACGGGAAAAATAGTATAATGTAGTTTTATCATTTTATAAAACTGGTTGAATATAGTGTGTTTCCTTGTAGAATGATAGAGTGTACTTCAAGAAAATCCAATATTTTTTAAAATAAAATGTATTCTTAGATACCCTAAGACCGATATTTATAAGTACTATACTGGAAAGTAGTATAGTGTGGTTTTATCATTTAAATTAAACTGATTGAAAATAGTGTAAGTTAGCCCCGTAAACCAAATGTATTGTTTGTACCCCATGTGACTTATTATAACCATGCTAGCGACTAGTTGGCATGCTACGACGTTCTTCAGGCATTGGAATGTTAGAAATTTGTCACCCCAGACCTGCCGGTCTAACTGTAGCTAACAGTTTAGGGGCGTGTTCGACAAAACTAGTTGGTAGTGGGTAGATGGTAGCGGTTAGCGGCTAGCTGGTAGCGGGTAGCTTTTGATTTTGGAGCTTTTTGTTGAAAGCTACTTCATCTAGCTTTTGATTTTTGGAGCTTTTTTTTAGGCTAAAAGTTAAACGTTCATGTTGTCGAATGAGGCTTATTCTTTTTAACAAGCGTTCTCTTAAAATCTAGAAGTTAGAGGATCTTAAAAGCTATGTGCCGAACACGCCCTAGTTGTGGGATATTTAGTCCCATATAGATCTATATACAAATGTCATGCTCTCTTACCGAGACTCTAGTTATAATTCAGAAACTTTAGTATGTACTCTGGTAGGTACGGTGAAGGTATGCCTCATAAAATTTGTATCAACCGGTTTACGTCTAGTGTAATGAAAACCCATTTTTCTTTTAAATGAAAGTATTGCCCTTCCAATAATGGTTACATAGTGTAAAAATAATTATATCTTTAAATAATTATTTTGTTTTCCTAAAAGGAAAAATAGTGTGTATGCCCCATAAACTATATTTATCATGGTTTATAAAACGTTTCGTTGTAAGAAGAATCTCTTGTATGTACCATTAGCATTTTATCATGATAATTAATACTATGAAATGTAATATTATATATGTATTTTTATATAATTATACACTTTTGCTCAACCTGTTACAAAAGTGTTAAAGTCTTATAAACTATTTTTATATATATTTTATTATCGAAATCAAATTTGTACCCAATATATATATATATATATATATATATATATATATATATATATAAGAATAACGTAGCATGTTTGTACTAACATTGTGTTTTTAGCAAAACATTGTATTTAACAGTTCGCAAGTCTGGAGGTAAAGTTGTATCATGAGTTTAGCATTTTTGTACAAAAGTGTTAAAGTCTTATAAACTAGTTTTATATAGTTTATTATTGTAATCATACTATAGGGGTATGAACTCACCTTGAGTGTGCTCGTGGTTGAATAAAAAGGTGATGATGAAGATCTTCAAGCTTAGAACACTCGAAGATAGTTGTATCCTATGAGTTTTTAACAAATAGTAGTTTATGTAAATTAGATAAACTTATCATGAAAGTGTGTAAAAATGCTAGATTTAACAATGAAACTTACAACAATTCTTAAGAATCAATCTTGAAGAATAGTTTCATGGGAATGTTTTGGTGATGTTATTGGGAGAAAACGCATGAACTTTGAATCGTCTTCTTGATAGAAAATGTAATAAATTTGAATATGTAAGTGGGGATTGTGAGGGATGTTCTCGACCTAATATATATATATATATATATATATATATATATATATATATATATATATATATATATATATATATATATATATATATATATATATATATATATATATATATGAAGTAGGGGTGATGGTGGGATGGGGTGACGTGATGTTTGCATTGGTTTGTGTGATCCATCAATCACGTTCAAGCACCACCGAATTCACTTAGTGATTTCGGTCTAAGCCCCAACCGAGAACACCTTTATGCCACTGAAATCACCTGTTGATTTCGGTCAAAGTACCACCAAAATCTAAGTATTTTCGGTCCTGTACCACCGAAATCTCCATGATTTCGGTTCTGCACCACCGAAATCTCAAGGTTATCAGTCCTAATCCGAGAACCTTAAAAGCAAGGTATAGAATTTTTTTATTTATATCCTAAACCGTTGACTTCCGTTGACTTGTTTGACTTTTGTTGACCCAGAACAGCCGTTGTCGCAACATTATTGTTTACTAGTTATATAGTGTGACCCTGTGGGATCATATGTTATTACAAAATATCATTTCATTATGATCATTGAGCATAAAGATCTTTAAGATATACCTAATCTAGGCATAAATGTCATGGACAATATGAAGGTTTGATCTAATAGGCTAACCATTTCCAAATTATAAAGAGTAAAAAATAAATCATAAATTCCCAATTTGTCTGATAAATAAGATTGAAACGTAGAGAAGATGTTTTTAATTGTAGATTACAAGCCCATGCTACTATTCATATGATCAAATGCAATCTCGTTCTCATGAATGTTTCATCTACAATTAGATATGAAAATTCATAATACCATTGTAACATTACTTACAATCCTTGAGTATTAAACTAAGGATAAAGTGCTCACATTCACAAGAGTGTGTATTCACTGAAAGAACTAAGGGGACTAAATCATGGAGAAGAAATTTTGATCATGAATATCAAGCCCTTGCTACTATTCATAGGATCAAAAGACAATCATTTTCCCAAATGTTTATAAAAAATTTCATGAGATTGTTCTAACTTAATTAAATTTGTAGCATTTCATATGTTTCTATTTAAAATCAAAGTCTTGAAAATTTTTAAATCTGGTACAGGAACAATAGTTCAAAACCAAATTCAAATATTTGAATATGGTGTACTAATGTGGAATCATTTTCTTGAATAAGGTTTTCATTACTAGAGATCCAGTTGGACATGATTTTGGAATTCATTTGACTACAATTCTTATGATAAATACAAACCCTATTTGTCAAGAA